GCAGCCTCTCACCATCTAAATATACTTTTTCATTCTTCCTGACAAAATAAACAGTTTTACATTTTCCACCTTACTCTAAATTTGCCATATTTTTGCCCACTTCTTTATTTATTTATATCACTAATCTGACCTTTTTGTCACCTCCTTGAGTGCTCTTCACAATTTTCTTTCCAGCTTATCTTGTCTCATCAGCAAATTTGGCACTTTTATTAACAGCTTCTAACATTTCTTTACTACAGATGTTAATCTAACTGGCCTGGGGTTTCCCGCCTTGTGTCCCTTCATTTTTAATTAAAAAGGAAAAGTTACATCTACTATCTTCCAAACAAATGGGTCTTTGACTCAATTAAAGGAGTTTTGGAAAATTATAAACCATCTCTTTGAAGACCCTAGGATGAGATTCATTAGAACCTGGTTTCTGGTCAGCCCGCATCTCTTCATCAACTCCGATGTTGATAGAAATTTGAGAGACCAACACCGCGTGTCAATTGAAGAAAAAATGGATATTCCAGTTCTTACGTAGTAAAAATCATACTTTAACCAGCAGCATACAGAATCCACCTGACGAGATTGTCCAAAAATACATGACAGAAACACAAATGAGCATATACATTGGGAACATTAGGAGCAGAAGTAGGCCATTTAGCCATTCAAGTCTGCTCTCCCATTCAATAAAATCATGCTGGTCTATTTGCATTTTGAATTTCACATTTCCAACTGTGCTTGATGACACATTTCTGCAGCTGAGAATGAGAATCTGGGACGGAATGCTTCCTCCCCGGTGCCAGGGTTAATGATATCTCAGACTGGCTTCAGGACATTCTGGAATCAGAAAGTCAAAAGCATCGATGAGAGAAGGGATGAGGTCCTGAAAGCAAAATATAGGAAGTTAGGAAGCAAGTTAAAAAATAGGACCACAAAATGTAGTGACCTTAGGAATGCAACTCGTACCACTTGCTAGTCAGAGTAGAAACAGCAGAATAAATCAGACGAATACTTGGCTGGAGAGATGGTGCAAGGGGGAAAAGTTTCAGATTCCAGGGACATTGAGACTGGTTCTGGGGGTGGTGGAGCCAGTACAAGCTGGATGGGTTGCACCTGGGCAGGACCAGAACTGATGACCATGGGGTAGTATTTGACAGTGCTGTTGAGGAGGGTTAAATGAAAATGGCAGAGGGATGGGAACCTAATAGGGAGGCAGACAGGGGGAAACAAGGTAAAAACAAAAGACAGAATTGGAAATAAGAAAAGTTATGGGTTGAGAGTCCAAACCATATTGCTAAAGAATGGGTACAGGACTAAAATGTAAGAACTTGTGTTTTAAATACACACAGCATTCATAATTAAGTGGATAAATTATCATGGACATAGATATAAATGGATACAATATAGTTGGGATTACAGAGACATTGCTGTAGGGTGACCAGGAATGGGAACTGAATATCCAGTTTTAGGAAGGACCGACAAGGAGGAAAAGGAGGTGGGATAGCATTGCTGGTTAAAGATACATTAAAGCAACAGTGAGGAAAGATGTCTTCTCTGACGAAGTAGAACTTGTACGTGTAGAGCTTAAAAACACAGAGGGGCAGAAAATGATAGTGGGGCTGTATGTAGAACCCCTAAACTGTAGTTGTAACTCTGGAGAAGACATTAAACAGAAAATTAGAGATGCAAGCAATAAAGGTACAGCTGTAATTATGGATGATCTTAATCTGCAAATTAATTGGGGAAAATCAAATCAGTAACAATACCATAAAGGAGGAATTCCTGGAGTGTGTACAAGATGGTTTTCTGGGTCAATATGTTGAGAAACTGACTACCCTAGACTGGGCACTGTGGAATGAGAAAGGAATAATTGGTAATGTAGTTGTGTAAGGCCCCCTGGGGAACAGTGACCATAATATTATAGAATTCTTCAATAAGATGGAGAGTGAAATGGGTTATTCTGGGACAACAGTCCTAAATTTAAATAGAGGAAACCATAATGGTATGGGGCACAAGCTGGCTATGATAAATTGAGGAGCATTACTTTAGGGGATGACGGTGGATAGACAACGGCAAAGAATGCATGGAGGAACTGCAACAAATATTCCTTTCTGTCTGGTACAAAGCTAAAATGGGAAAGGTGACCCAGTGATGATGAACAAGGGATATAAAGGATAGCATTAGATCCAAGGAAGGGGGTATACAAATTGGCCAAAAAGAGCAGCAGACCAAAAGACTGGGAGCAGTTTAGATTTTAGCAAAGGAAGATAGTAGGAAAGATTAAGAGGAGAAAAATAAAGTTCCAGGGGAAGCTGACGGTGAAGATTCAAACTAATTATAAAAGTTCTGTAAGTACGTGAAAAGAAAAAGATTAGTGAAGACAATGTAGATTCCTTATAATCGAAAACAGGGAAAGTTATAATGGGGAACAAAGAGATGGAAGACCAATTAAATACATATTTTAAGTTCTGTCTTCACAAAGGAGGACACAAATAGCCCCCCAAAAATGTTGGAAGAACATAGGTCTAGTGAGAGAGAGGAACTGAAGGAAATTGGTATTAGTAGGGAAATGGTGTTGGGGAAATTGATGGGATTAAAGGCCGATAAATCCCCATGGCCCAACAGACTACATCCTAGAGTACTTAAGGAAGTAACCCAAGAAATAGTGCATGAATTGGTGGTTGTCTTACAAGACTCTACAGACTCTGGAACGGTTCCTATGGTTGGAAGGGTAGCTAATGCAACCCCACTATTGCAAAAAGTAGATAGGGAGAGAACTGGGAATTACAGACTGGTCAGCCTGACTTTGGTAGCAGGGGAAGTACTAGAGTCTATTATAAAAAAATGACTAGCACAGCACCTGGAAAACTATGACAGGATTGGACAAAGCCAGTATGGATTTAGGAAAGGGAAATCTTGCTTGAAATATCTATTACAATTTTTCAAGGATGTAAATAGTAGAATTGATATGGGAGAACCGGTGGATGTGGTTTACTTGGGCTTTCAGAAGGTTTCCAAAAGCTTAGTATGCAAAATTGAAGTGCATGGGATTGAGGCTAGTGTATGACATGGATAGATAACTGGCTGGCAGACAAGAAACCAAGAGTAAGAATAAATGGGTCATTTCTGAGTGGCAGCCAATAACCAGTGAGGTACAGCAGGGATCACTGCTTGGATCCAAGCATTTCACTATATATATATTTATTAACTTAGAAGAGAGAACTAAATGTAACATCTCCAAGCTTGCAGAGGGTGAGCTGTGATGAGGATACAGAAATGCTTCAGCATGATTTGGACAAGTTGACTGAGTGGGCAAATGCAGATGAGTGTACAGCAGATGACAGATAAAATGTGGGTAAGTGTGAGGCTATCTACTTTGCAGCAAAATAGGAAGACAAATTATCTGAACAACGATAGGTTGAGAAATGGGGAGGTGCAACAAGACCTAGTCCTTGTACATCAATCACTGAAAGTAAGCATGCAGAAGGCAAACGGTATGCTGGCTTTCATTGTTCGATTATTTGGGTATAGGAGCAGAAATGTTTTGCTGCAATTGTACAGGGACTTGGCGAGACAACATCTGGAATACTACATGTGGTTTTGGTCTACTTACTTGAGGAAGGATGTTCTGGCCGTGGACAGAGAGCAAAAAAGACCTAGCAGACTAATTCCTGGGATTTCAGGACTGATGCATGAAGAAAGATTGGATCAGTAAAAACTATATTCTCTGGAGCTTAGAAGAATGACGGATGATCTCACAGAAACCTATAAAATTCTAAAAGGGCTAGACAGGAAGGTGAAACACAGGAAGGATGTTCCCACTGACCAGGGAGTCCAGAACCAGGAGTCACAGTCTAAGGATAGTGGGCATGCCATTTTGGATAGAGATGAAGAGAAATTTCTGCATCCAGGGAATGGTGAGGCTGTGCAATTCCCTGCCACAGAAAGCGCGGTATTTAACATCTATAAAAGGGAACAAAGCAATGGATGCTCTACAGGAGTACAGAAAACACAGGGGGTAGCTCAAGGGAAAAAAAACAGGAGAGCAAACAGTGAGCATAAGAAAATATTGCTGGGCAAGATTAGGGAGAATCTCAAGATATTATACAAGTATTGTGATGATACTATGGCTTTAAGAGATATATTTTGTCCTTTTCTTTAAAGCAAAGAGGTAACACGAATGGTCTGCTTCAAGCCATAAAGTAAACAACTTGTGAGGGTTAGGTTTTTTTCTAAAAATACTGGGACAATTGAAGCACCTGAATGGGTGTGGTCAAGCTCCCACAGAACCAAGATTTTAGTTTTAGCTTTCAGTAGCAGTTGCTGGGGTCTTGAAGCTGAATGTGGAAGCTGTTATTCCTCTCTTAATTACAGATAAAAGCTGAACTTCTCTTTCTTCCGCTAGAATTGCATGTGAGACAATCTATTTTACTGACTTTGCCCTTGCCAAGGGTGTGAGTATGGGATGTTAGCATATTGGAACAGTTACCATTAGCAGTTAAATAATCTATTATTCTGTTAAGTTTTCCAATAGAGTTAAGATATTCCAATTCTTCTTTTTTGTGTTTCTATTTTAACTACAGTGTAAAAATAAAGTGTGTTTTACTTCAAACCTGTAGATTGACCCATCAAATTACAATTGTTAACTGTGAATTAATGCATGACCAATGCGAGGCTCTTAAGATTTGCCTGACTGCCTCTGGGTTCAGGGACGAATTTCCCAGGCTTCTGCCCGAAATTGGCTTACGCTTCTATTTGTCTCACCTAGGAGAATGCATGACTGCAGAACGGAATGTAGCAGAGATTTCATTGTAAACCTAGGCTACGCAATGTCTACGTGACAGGTGAGATAGGCCAGTTAACATTTTCCTGTGCTTTCTCAGCTTCTAGACTGAAGTGGAGTTAGAAGATGCAATATTTATCTGATGACATGTAATCACATTAAGCTACTTGATTCAAACTAGAATCTGGAATGATTGAGGATAAGATGAGATGATATTTCATCAGCATGGTACCTGTGTTGCTCTGACACGGAGCACTGCAGTGTAGTCATGTGATGAGGCCGGTGTAGATCTCAATGTTTGAGCAGTCGTGTGAAAAACCTGAGCAAAAATGAGAGAAGACGTTCAGTTTGTATCATTGTACTCCTGTGATAGTATTAGCGAGAGATGCCCAATTCCTGTACAACTTTCAGACTATATGCTAAGCAAAGACTCTGTTGGTATGGACCTCAGACAATTAGATACACCGATATTTCTACTTAGGACAGACACATGCAGTAATCCAGTCCAATAACAGCCCAATTATAAAGACAATATGATGAACCGGGCAGATGAAATTTAATGCAGAGAAGAGGGAAGTGAAATGTTTTGATAGGGAGCATAAGGAGAGGCAATAAAACGAATCAATATAAATTTTAAAATGAGTAACAGAACAGAAATCTACAAAGTGTATATGAACAAAATCCTCAAGCTGTGACAGCACAAGTTGAGAAGGCTGTTTCATAAAATATCCATGGTTTTATAAAGAGGTGTAGAAAAGCAAGGGTTTTATGGGAAAGCTTCATTACACTGATTAAGCCCTAGTTGAGCATTTTGGCCCAAACTGGACACTAATCTTTAGAAAGAGTTTCAAGGGGACCTAGGAGATTCATAACAAGGTTACTAGGGTTTAAAAGGCTTCAGTTGTATGGAGAGACAGTCAGAAGTCAAATTGTTCTCCTAAGAGCAGAGAAGGCTGAAAGGAAATTTAAAGATAGTTTTAAAATTGCAAAAGAGTCTGAGAAAGTAAATAAGAAACTATTCCCAGCGGCAAAAGGATCAGTCGTCACAGACACACATTTAAGGCAAATGACCTGCTATGTTGAAAGATGCCGAGGCATGGTACATTGGCACGATCATGCAAATGCTACAGCAATGGATAAACGGACACTACGTAACAATCACGAGGCAAGATTCCCTCCCACTTGGGAAGCTCTTCAGTGGTGAAGGACATTCAGCCTTTGATCTTTGGGAAACCGTCCTCCAAGGAAGTCTTCGAGAGACACAACAACGCAGAATTGCTGAGCAGAAACTGATAGCCAACTTCTGTAGCCACGACGACGGCCTCAACCATGATCTTAGGTTCATGTAACCCCACCATACTGTTCTGTGTTTGCAAAATCTTCCTTCTGTTCTGTTTTGACACCATCACCTTGATAATGTATTATCCCTCTACCTTAATTAGTTCCACAAACAGAAGTTGCTGGAAAAACTCAGCAGGTCTGGCAGCATCTGCGAAGAGAAATCAGGGTTAACATTTTGGGTCCGGTGCCCCTTCCTCAGAACTTAATTAGGTTGTACAATTTTGGATTACTTGTTACTTTGGTTAAACCCTCGTCATGCGACTCTGATACCTATTATGTTATTCCAGCCATTCGGTCTATCTCTAGTACCATTTTGTTTTTGATTTTTTGTAATTATCTCTCTGCCTCAATTAATCGATTCATAGGTCATCCTTCACTTGCTATTCAGCTGTTGACACTTTACTCACACTGTTTCTCGCTTCTTATCACCTGCAAAGACTTGTTATTCAGCCTATCTACACTTCGCTCAGACTATTTGTACTTCTCTGTTGACATGCTTAATTACCTGGAATTATCTTGCCATTATCTCTCTATCTATATATTCTGTGCCTATGTGCTTCCCTCCACTTCACCTGATGAAGGAGCAGCACTCCAAAATCTTGTGATTTCAAATAAACCTGTTGGACTATAACCTGGTGGCATGTGACTTCTGACTTTGTCCACCCCAGTCCAACACCGGTACGTCCACACCAGAGTACTAAAGGTAGTGGCCCTAGAAGTAGTGGATACATGGTAGTGATCTTCGAAGATTCTATAGACTTTGGAACAGCTCCTGCAAGATTAGAAAGAAGCTAATGTCATCCCTCTACTTAAAAAGGGAGGCAGAGAGAAAACAGAAAACATTAGCAGTCTGACAACATTAAGAGCGAAAATGCTACAGTCCATTATTAAAGATCGGAAAGAAGTGGCAGGATTAGACAAAGAAAGCATGGATTTACGAAAGGGAATTATTTGAGGATATAACCAGACGAAGGGGAGACAGTGGGTGTTGTTTATTTGTCTTCTAGAAGGCTTTCAACAAAGTCCCATGTAAGACATTAGCGTGAGAGAGATAGTAGGAACTGCAGATGCTGGAGAATCCAAGGCAACAAGGTGCAGAGCTGGATGAACACGGCAGGCCAAGCAGCATCATAGGAGCAGAAAGGCCGATGTTTCAGGCCTAGAACCTTCATCAGAAATGTATATGAAGGGTCTAGGCCCAAAACGTCAGCCTTTCTGCTCCTATGATGCTGCTTGGCCTGCTGTGTTCATCCAGCTCTGCACCTTGTTGTCTAAGACATTAGCATGTATAGTTAAAGCACATGGAACTGAGGCAGTGTACTGAAACGGATAGAAAACTTATTGGCAGACAGAAAACAAACAGTAGGAATGAACAAGTCTTTTTCTGCATGGCAGGCAGTTATTGGTGGGGTGCCAAAGGGTTCCCAACTATTCACAATAATACATTAATGACTTAGATAAGGGAAATAAATGTAATATCTTCAAATATGCAGACAGCACAAAGCTAGGTGTGAAGATGAGCTGTGAGGAGAATGTAGAGATGTGTCAGTGTGATTTGGACAGGCTGGGTGAGTGGGCAAATGCATGGCAGATGCAGTGTATTATGGATAAATGTGAGGGTATCTACTTGGGTAGCAAAACAGAAAGGCAGATTGAATAGCTATAAATTGAGAGAGGGGAACATGCAACGACACCTGGATCTCCTCGTACAACAGTTGCTGAAGGTAAGCATGCAGGTGTAGCAGGCAGTCAAGAAGTTAAAAAGTAGATTGGTCTTTATAGTGAAAAAATTTAAGTACAAGAAAAGGGATGTCTTGTTGCAGTTACACAGGGCCAGAATAAAACCACGCCTGGAGCACTGTGTGCAATTTTGATCTCATTATCTGAGGAAGAAAGTTCTGGCTATGGTCAAAAAGCAGCGAAGGTTTACGAGACCTGGGACTGTTGGACTGATGTATGAGTACGGGTCTTAATTGGTCAGGATATGTTCAGGGCAGTTCAGAAGAACGAGAGGGAATCCCATAAAAACTTATAGAATTCTAACAGGAGTACACAGGGTAAATGCAGCAAGGATTTCCTAATGACCGGGAAGTCCACAACCAGGGGTCACAGTCTAAGGATAGGAGGGTTAATAATTTAGGACTGAGATGAGGACAGATTTCTTCATCCAGAGAGTGGCAAGCCTGTGGAATTCACCATCACAAAGTAGTCAAGGTCAAATATTGTATGATTTCAAAAAGAATTTGGACACAGCACTTGGGGCTAAAGGGATCAAAAGAAAATGGAGAAAAGTGAGAACAAGCACTTGAGTTGGATGATCAGCTGCTCCTGTTTTCTATGTTTCGATGCCCAGAGTGCTAGAATTCTTCCCTGAACACACTGCCTTTTTCGCTTACTTTAAGACGCTGTTTATAACAGACAATGTTGTCGAGGAGAATACCGAGATACAGGCTATTAGACTAGGCGGGATTGAGGTTCATAAGGAGGAGGTGTTAGCAATTCTGGAAGGTGTGAAAATAGATAAGTCCCCTGGGCCGGATGGGATTTATCCTAGGATTCTCTGGGAAGCTAGAGAGGAGATTGCAGAGCCTTTGGCTTTGATCTTTATGTCATCATTGTCTTCAGGAATAGTGCCAGAAGACTGGAGACTAGCAAATGTTGTCCCCTTGTTCAAGAAGGGGAGTAGAGACAACCCTGGTAATTATAGACCAGTGAGCCTTACTTTGGTTGTGGGTAAAGTGTTGGAAAGGATTATAAGAGATAGGATTTATAATCATCTAGAAAGGAATAATTTGATTAGGGATAGTCAACACGGTTTTGTGAAGGGTAGGTAGTGCCTCACAAACCTTATTGAGTTCTTTGAGAAGGTGACCAAACAGGTGGATGAGGGTAAAGCAGTTGATGTGGTGTTTCTGGATTTCAGTAAAGCATTTGATAAGGGTCCCCATGGTAGACTATTGCAGAAAGTACTGAGGCATGGGATTGAGGGTGATTTAGTGGTTTGGATCAGAAATTGGCTAGCTGTAAGAAGACAGAGGGTGGTGGTTGATGGGAAATGTTCATCCTGGGGTTCAGCTACTAGTGGTGTACCTCAAGGATCTGTTTTGGGGCCACTGCTGTTTGTCATTTTTATAAATGACCTGGATGAGG